CATGATATGCAGTGACTATCAAACTGGGCTTTTACACGCAGGCCGATGAATTCTGCCATATACAGTTTGATGTTGTGTGGGTGTAACGTCAGAGGCCGAAGTGGGCTGAGGTTATACTGGATTGTGATGTGACAAAAACAATGCAAATCAATATCCACGGAACGTGCACATATGCGGAGAGAGTCGTTTGTTATATTATGCTATCGCAGGCTAACCTTAATCTTGCGTTTTCAAAGTTCTCACGGATTCTGAAATACCCATGTAAGACGTGAGATTTAGAGATCGCGAACCGTTGCCCCTCTTTTTATTATTTCATCTTGACTTCGATATTAAAGTTATTATTAACTTTTGCAGTCTATTATATTTGTTATTAGACCCAAGTTTAAAAATTGTTTTTGTGTATGTTAAAGAAGCCTATTTTTTGTTTCTTTATTATAACAGTGTAACACTACTCTTCAATAGCCTATAAATTTATAAGGCAGTCGAAAATAAAATTTCAATAAAATGAACTGCTTATCTCGTGTGAACTCGCGGGCATGGCTTATTTAGATTTCCAGGTATATCTTTTAGAAATAATCAGTGGCATAGAGTCTAAAGTAATACAGAAAATTTTGCAATAAAAGCATCTTATAAAACTCTAGGAAATATTAAAACACCAGTAATGAAAGAAAAATAAAAACTGTTAGAAAATAAATAGTGTCATGCATTAAAAGTAAAAGAATGTAACGTATTCATAACAGAGAACGGCGTTAGCCCATTTTAGTAGGAATTCATATCAATCCATGCAAGTAATACGTTCGTATGTTGATATAATAAATTAATACCGTGGGACTCACGGGTACACTACGTGTATTATTATTATTATTATTCAATTTACAGAAATAAATCGGATATAAAATACATATTGCATTGATAAGGAATGAAATGATCATAATATGTAAGTATTCTTGCTGTTCCCCAAAGCCTTTATATAGTATTTGGCTATTATTTTATTATATTATGATTATTATTTTCAGGAACAACGGTTGTCTAATATAATACTGATGATGATATATAATATAATTACACTACTACTACTACTACTAATAGAGCAATGGTAATATATGACCACATAATGCTGATAATACGGATAAAATTATTATAACCTACAATAGTATCGAGATAATGTAATAATGATATGTTCATGCTGTCCCCAAAGCCTGTATATAGTCTTTAATTTGTCCTTTCTATGCCTCCGTGTTCTGCAATTAATTTGTCTTCTGTACAAAGGTTTTTTATTCTGACTTTGGAGTTGCTGTTGTCCGTGGTGCAAACCTTCAGAAAGGTGAGTTGTGGCACTGGCCGAACACAGTAGTTGGTACTAGGAAAAATTAGACCCTTGAATGGTGAAGCACTCTACGGTGGTTATATGTAGAAAACCGCAAGTGTAAAACTAGCTCTATTGAAAGTGAGGATCAGACCTAAGGATTGGTGAAACTGCGGCTCCTTTCCCAATAAATCTTGTTAGACTTGGGGATTTTGTACATGGTATTCATTTATTTCTATGATTAAGGATCACTTTTATTTAATATCATTCCTTTAGCATTGTTCTTTGTTTTAAACGAGATATACCTAACAATTCTTAATGGTACATATTACTCACAGTGATATCAAAATTACAAACATAAAATATCATATGTTAGTATTATTATGTCATGTATCATTTCCATTATCATTGTTTTTTTGGCATTATTATTCTCACTATCATTATTTACTATCGGTTCCATCGTTATTTATTATTATTATTTTACAATTATGATAATTATTCAGCCATCAGCATCATCACCGCCCATCATTGTTTAGTAGTATTGCTTTGATTATTTTCTGTTATTATTCGGAATAGCTGATAATCTAAAATGTACTAAACAATAATGATGATGGATGGGGATATGACTACCAATAATAAAATAATATGATGATAAAAATAAAATCTATTAATAGTAGTGCTGTTTAATGGTAATAAATGATATATTATGGGTGCTCGCTGTACTCTTAAGCCTACTTAGTATTGGGTTGTCCTTATTGTTTTTTTACCATTATTACAAGCATTATACGTAATTTTTCATTATATGTTTTCTAAAATGTAATAATAATATAAAATAATACTAAAACAATATACTAAAATAAATTTAATAACAATAGTATATTGATATATAATGATAAAGGACATGCTGTCCCCCAAAGCCTGTATATAATATTTAGCTGTCCCTTTCTGTGCCTCAGTTTTCTGTAATGAAGTGTCTTTCACGCTTTTTTTTTCTGTTTTTGTTTTTAACGTGCATTTAATACGGCAAATATGTAAATCGATAATAATATTCCATTTAATCCCAGAAAGTACGTCACCAAGGTATCCTCATCCTTAGGTAAGCTCCGACCACCTTATCATAAATATTCGTTGAAAAAGTTTTCGTCTTTCACATGAAACTTTCAAGGTTTGGCTGAGAATATAGATTAAATATATTGTAAACCCGAGAACTTCCTACTCCCGACTTATAGTTATAACGTATTAGAATATTTATACGTTTCAATACGTGACGTCCTTATTTTTTGTACTACAACGTCTACTTGCATGGTAATACTTACAAATCTTATGAACGCCTTAGACACCTTCTTTTTTAAAATTCGCTCTACGACGCATAGCGTATTTTCGTACGTAAGGTACGTAACGACGCACCCTATTTCTTCCCACTTATATGGTACTGTCCCTCTGTTTTTTAAGATATCGGAAAAAAGCCACAGTAAAATAAAGATATATCGCTTATACACTACCAGAATCATTTTCAGGCTTCTACAATTGTATTTACTAAAATTTGGCATATTTTTTATGTGGAATATGTTGTTTTGAGATATTACGTATAAAGTTTCAGTAAGTTACACTCTTTATTTAATAGTGCAGTTTTATATGTTTCACACAAATATTAACACAAGGTATATCAACCAAGCGGACAGAATTATTTAATTATATCATATTACGTATATTTTATTTTTTTTTTAATGATGGTGGACTTTTACCGGTTTAAAACCTCACTGGCTGGGGTTGTATTTTTACCAGCAATGACGCCTTCCCTCTTCCTCATGACATTTTTTGACCCAATGTGCCCGGCAATTGCTCTAACCCATCTCCACATATTTTCCAGGGCCTAACAAAATTCTCTGTCTCCACTCGTGGCACTGTTTCTGTTATAGTTGCACTATTTTCCCGTTTCTTTAAATTTAGTATGAGTCGCTGGGTGGTAAGATGTTGTCTCTGAAGGATGGTATGGTGGTGGTGATGATGGTGGTAATCACGTTGGTGGTGGAGAAGGAGGTGGTGGGGTGAGGGAGGTGTGACACATCGCTGGTGTCGAGTCACGTGTTTGTATCCTCGCGCGCTCTTTCCCTCCTTCTCCTACAAACTTATGGCCACTTCTGGTTCAGTTTTCTCATTCTTTTCTTTTTTTTCCTCTTCATCTCAGCATTATGTCTGAACAGCATTAGGTAGTTATAATCCTCCCAATGGCAGGAGTGTGAAAGTAACACGACACAAAGACAGTAGTAAGTCTCTTGCTTATTGCTAAGTAACTGACCCTCTCAAACTCTCGTGCCTCCACCCGCGCGATCCCTCCCCCGCTAATTTGGCCAGGTACTCAAATATTGAGCCCACAGGGAATTAACACGTAACAACCCGAAAAATGCTATTCTCGCCAATTTTTTGTTTCTACGAGAGTTTGTATTTTCAATTGCCATATCTAATTCGATTTTTTAATGAATTTTCATGATTAAGGGTGAGCTGAGCCTTAATACCAATAGTTTGCGTGTACAAATCGTTTCTTCCGGTTTGCTATCCTGTTCTGTACGTGTGTTTTACCCCGACTGTGTCAGTTGAGGTACTAGACAGGTTTTTTATTCTTGAAGTTTGTGCTTAAGCTCTGCTGTCATGTGCGAACCTTCAAATATAGTAGGACACAGTATTTGTGTATATATAGAAGAATGTAAGTCTAGGCTCCCACTATGTTAACATGTATCAAGAGTTTAGTGCAAAGATTTTCATGTGTCTTTTAAAGAACATTATGTGTATAGTTTGTTTTGGCATTTTGTTAACAACTTTCTTTAATTTTAACCGTATTAGACAGTAATGTGTGTGTTGCTTTATTTTAATTTGACAGGGGAATGGTAATCTAGGTCTGAGTGACGTAATCATTTTCGGAGGTAGCTGATACATTACGCTCCCTCCCCCTACTTTAATTTATTTAAAAAAAATATATACTAAGTTTCGTTTTGATAAGTCTAAGGAAGATTGTATTAACTTTCAATTGTAGAAGATTGGTTATTCTAATAATGCTACTTATATCTCCTGTATCCATGATACACCTCACATTATCTAACATACGGTAAAACCTATAATTGTTGTTAAAGGTTGAGTGTTTTTCTTTTAATTACGCATTTAATCGGTAATGTATATCCGAATGTAACCCTGGTTAGCGCTCAAGCTCTGTGTTTTACGTCCCCACAACGATCATATATGCAGTGACTAGTCAACGGCCTTTATACACGCGCAGATGAATTCTGCATATGACACAGTTATGTTGATGTGGTTGAGACCGTGCGGCCCCGAAGTGGGCTGAGGTTAATAATGGATTGGTGGATGTGACAAAAACAATGCAAATCATATCCACAAGGAACGTGCCATATAGCGGAGAGTCGTTGTTATAATTATGCATCGCATGCAACTAATCTTGAGTTTTCAAAGTCTCAACGGATTCTGTCCCATGTATAACGTGAGATTTAGAAAGAATCGAGACTTCCCCTGTTTTATCTATCATCTTGACTTCGAATAAGTTTGTTATTAACCTTTTGCTTCTTTTTATTTTGTTATTTGAACCAAGTTTATAAAATTGGTTTTTGTACATGGTTAAAGCCATATATTTTTTTTTCTTTATTATAAACAGTGTACACTACTCTTCAAATAGCCTATAAATATTATAGGCAGCGAAATAAAATTCAATAAAAAAATGAACTCTTTCTCGTGTGTAATCGCGGGACATGGCCTTAGGTTTAGATTATCCAGGGTTTTGCTAGTGAGTCAATGGCCACGTGTTTTTTTGTTTTGTTTTTTATGAGGAATTTTATCGTAAATTTGACGCTATGTGGTGTTAGTAAAAACTCTTTTATTACACTCAGTACGCCTATATAGCAGAGTTGGAATATTTTTCCCAAGCTGGGAATAATATATTTTTTCTGTGTCTGTAAACTCGGGAATCGTCCGTGGGATTTTCTTTTCGGTTTTCTTTTCATGTTTGGAGTTACATCTGGAGTGTGAATATCCCATAACTTATAAAAGTATGTATTGATGAATTTTCACCTACATCTTTGACATTAAAATGTCAGAATTTGTTTTGTTGCTTATTATAAATATTAACGGCAATTCATGACCTCATGACGTATCAATATATGATTGGTGTGATTAATTAGCTCGTACTTAATATTTAAGTAAGTGAGGTCCAGAGGCGAATTCAATTTCATTCTGGATGCTGCCATTATGCATGTATATTAGAGATTTGGCTTAACATTTAATAATGATTATCTTTTATGGTGGTAAAAAGGGTAAACATTAGTTAACAATTAGGATAATTGAACAGAATGGGATGAAGAAGAGAATGAAAAGGAAAGGGTGAGAAGAAAAGACCATGCAAAAATTTGTTGAAGCAAGGACTGAGGTCTTAGGTAGAGATGATCCCCTACATTGGGCCTCAGTGTCCGTCGAGCAAAGGATTGGGGAAGAAGGGTATTTTAATTGCAAATAGGATTCGTTAGCATAATCATTTGATTATCACGAAGGTTGTTATCTCTGTAAGTACTGTAATGATTTCATAACTAGCATTATTATCTATTTTTTTTTTCAATTATCATCATCATAATCGTTATTAGTATCAGAAATATTACTACCGTTGTTTTCGGTTGGCACTATTATCCATGTTATTTACTTATACATTTATCCCAAAAATTGCCATTAATCTTCATTTCAATTAATACTGTTTTCTTTTAGTCATCGTCGCTAATAGTCCTTGTTTTTCAGAAGTGTTGAAATCTTGACGGTATTCTCCGTGACGCGCCATGGTAAGATATGTGCTTATGTAATTCTGACTTATTCTTGGAGTAGTTAGCTTTTCATTCTAAGTTTTTTTTTTTACCAGTAATTCATGTCAAGGTACTGCAGGATGTACAAGACTTGAAAATGACATGCTATATGATATCCATATTATACTAAATTATATATTTTTCTCTGCGTTATATTTTAGAACTTGTTGCCGGATTGTACGGAAACCATAACTAGGGAAATTGAAGAAGTTATAAAAATTATTTTTAAAAAGAATTATTTTTAAAAAGTAGGATTACCAAATAGTATGCGTAGTAGAAACATAATTGATGTACCGTGCGTCTGTGGGCATCCCTTTCAAATTATTATTATTGTTACGCCTACCGAATCAAAATTTCCGAACACATTTCACTGAACAGATAATACAAGCTAAACGAGGCTGTGCTAAACTCGCCTTGGATTTCTTCCTGTACGATTTTAGACCGCGAACACTAGCAGGAACGTTAGCCTAATCTTCGTATTGTATTTTTATTGATAAATAAATGTAAAAAATAATCATTTAGGGTTATAACTTCGTTCAAATACCAAATGTAAATAAGCAGATGACTACTTATACAACATTTGGCAAATGGAAACAGCATTCTTGTTGTGTGATCAAGCGAAACTTTTGGTAAAGGTGGACTATGAACTTTGGAGAGGATGTTAGATGTGTGTAAAATGTATCAGGCAGATGCTATTACTATATTTTACAGCAAATATAAAATAAACCGATAAAAACCATGGATACAGTGTAAATAGCGGCATCGACTAGCAAATACTTTCAAACCATAGAAGAGGGACTTAGCTTTTTCACGTCTCTTAACCATTTTTTATAGTTCGTCACCATTAAATTTCCTCATTACATTCCTTGTTCTCTTATTTTATTCCAACGTGAATTTAAATTCGTGATAAAAAAAAAATCCACAATAAATGAAGAGAGGTTAGCATCGCTAACATTGGACAAGGAAAACTGGCATCAGGCCAGCGCATCCAGTCGATGTCTCACTCATAGGAACTTTACAAAATAGTCCAACAGTATGTGTACAATGAGTTGTCGGTGAATCCAAATGATGGACACGGCTCCCTGTCAATTTATCAATGTAGTCATCAAGAATCCCAAGTAATTTCCTGAAGACGTTGGGTCTGAACTTTTTGTAATGAAAAAACAATTGAACGTTACCCCTTCATCAAGAAGGTCCTTGATGGTAAAGTGGACGACGATTTTGATTTTTGTCCCCAAATTGCCTGATTGTAAAAGTGTAATTTAACTTCCAGGTCACCTGAAAAGGTGTGTCGAAGTTTTCAAATTATTGTATTTTCTTTAGTAATATATCATGCCATATACTTCTCAATTTATTCAAACAAATCAGAAAATCGCACTTTAAGCCATAGGGGTTCCTCCTGAATAGCAGCCGAACTTTCTGACGCTCGAAAAAACGATTGTTACGCTAACCGCCGTTAGGGAATGGTGATGTAGTTACAACAGCGAAAAAAATTTTGAGGAAGCAAAAGCTCATTTTTGTTAAAAAGAAACAGAGATAGGGAAGCAGAGGAAGGGAGAGAGTGAGGGAGGGAGGCAGGTAGAGAGAGTATCTATATACACTCACAATGCACACTAACACTATCACAACCTCTCTCTTTTTCTATTGTTCCTCCCCCCTCTCTCTTTCTCTCCCTCTCCTTCTCCCTACATTCCTTTCATTTCTCTCTCTCTCTCTCTCTCTCTCTCCCTCTCTCCCTCTCTCCCTCTCCTCGCCCTCTCTCCCCCTCTCCCTCTCCCTCTCCTCTCCCTCTCCCTCTCCCTCTCTCTCCCTCTCTCTCCCTCTCCCTCTCTCTCTCTCTCCCTCTCTCTCTCCTTCCCTCCCTCTCTCTCCTTCCCTCCCTCTCTCCCCCTCCTTCCCTCTCTCTCTCTTTAATAACTTCATAATTATCATACAGATATGTATAGGTTGAGCCCAGGTTGTATATTACAGTACATTCAGTTACCTCTCCCTCCATCCATCTCAATTTCTCACCCTCTCTCTCTCTCTCTCTCCCTTCTTCACTACTGTAAATCTCTATCTTCCCCTCTCTTTCTAGGGGGGGAGGAAGTATAGAAAAAACGAGAGAGGGGATGACAGTGTGTCAGTGTGTACTATGGCTGTATACTGTAAATTCTCTCCCCCCTCCCTTCCTCCCCCTCTCTCCGGTCATTCCCTCCCCCTCCCTTCCCCTTTCTCCCTCCCTCTCTCTCACTCACTTTCTGTCTACCCTCCCTCCTCCCTCTTTACTTATCTCCCTCTCTTTATATTTCTCTCCATTTCTCTTTTCCCTCCCTCCCTCCCGCTTTCGGTTTGGCAAATTCTTCGCTGATGTAACTACATCACCATTCCCTAACGACGGGTAGCGTAACTATCGTTTTTCTGAGCTTCAATCTGGTCTCTTGAACAACAGACAGCCAAAGCGACCACTTTCCTGTAGGTATTAGATGTTCATGTAACACAACAAAACACCTTCAGCACCTTAGTTTTACAAAGCTCGTACGTATTCAGAATTCGACCTGAGATGCAGCAATATCCATTACCGAAAAATTCGACAGTAGCGTTAAGCATAGAGTTCCATGGTGTACACCAAATTGCTGCAGGGTGTTGAGTGAACGCAATAGGGCCTACAGGCTTTTCAAAGATAACATCAATAATGCATTTACAATTACAATTACAAACTAGCAACAGAACAGTAAGACAAGCAAAAGGAGACTCCTGGCGGAGCTTTGTCTTTACAATTAACAGTAATACACCAACATCACAGGTTTGGCCCCAGTCAGTAAAATAAACAAGAGAAAAAATAAATTAAAAACATTTATGAGGGAACAAATTTCGATTCATCTAGAGACGTTGCTAATGCACTTGCCAGGCAGTTCTCTTACACAAGCAGCTCACAAAATCACCATGCCGCATTCCTGACCACCGAGGAAGCAATTGAACTGCAACATGTGCACTTTGCCACAGGAGATAACCTTAGATTACAACCAAGACCTAACAATGGATGAACTTGTCCGAGCCCTAGAATCCTGTAGACATTCGCAGTCCCTGATGAGAAACGATGCGAGTTGATAAAGCATCTTAATCATGATACCCTTATTAATTGCTTGAAGTGTACAATGAAATTTGGAAAGGCAGACTTTTTGCCCATAATGAAAAGAGGGGTTCATCCCAGATCCGCCATCTCATACTGCCCAATTGCGTAGACAAGTTGCTTCTGCAAGATCATGGAACGAACTGTCAACAGTAGGCTTTAGTTTTTTTTTTTTTTTTTTTTTTTTTTTTTTTTTTTTTTTTCCCCTCAATAATCTGCTAGTTGAGCAGTGCGGCTTCCGGAAGGGGCACCAAACTCTTGATCAACTAGTAAAAACTGGACAGTTCCCCATTCAAGAGGCAATTGCCGAAAAATCTTCATTGGTTTACTTTTTTCATGAGTGTGCCATTTTATCTATTAGTCTGGAAACTAAGCTAATAGAAACATAATCAGTTTCTGTTGCTGTTTCATAGAAAACTGCCTTTTGATCTAATATTTTTAAAGATTTTTTATATATCTATCTAATGGGCATGATTCTTCCCCTTGGTATAAGATAATAAACTTGGCCCAAAGTAGTAGAACGATTTTCTTGTAACATTAATTCAACCAGCATTTATATAAGATACAATAGTTTTTTTTTTTTTTTTCCTGAATGTATTTCTTTTTCTACAGGCGAGTAGGAACATTGGACTTTGTCAAATATGCTTTACATGTTACGACAGTGAAGCCAAGCGGCCGAAGATATTGCCCTGTGGTCATACTTTTGCTCCCAATGTCTGCTGAATATCAGAAAAAAAAGAGAAATCGATCGCATGCCCTCTCGCAAACAAGAACGGTTGTGACATACCTATCACAGTTTAACAACAAACTTTATATCCTAGACGTGCCCACATGATCATGCAAGAAGTTCAAATCCCATCAAAGTATCGGCCAAAGTTGAGCGGACCTCCACTTTCTACTGGGTTTTGTGACGATCATGGCCAATCACAAATTAGTTAAGTGCAATCGTGTGAAAGTGGATCTGCCATGTTTGCACAATCCTTGAACTCTTTGCCTATCCATAGTCATCTCAGTCAAAATGCTTTGGAGGAGATGAAGAACAGATAAATGCTCAGTTGAGCAAAACTCATGCAGATATAACCAAACATGCAATCATTAGGTATAACGACAGAGAACTACAGACCAGGCGGAGAACTACAAAAACGTTATTAGGTAACTGGAGCATGTTATGGAGATACAAGGAGGCAGAAAAAGTGTGGCTGGAGAACATCTCAAGCTAAAGAAAGCACAGGAGGAAGGCCTTGGCCAACCTACAAGGTCTCAAAAAATTACAAAATAGCATGTCAAA